ACTACACAACCTGTTACATAAAAAGTTGGCCAATTCCTGGTCTGAGAAGATATAGTTGATGTGTGTGTGGCAAGTGCAGTCTCCCTGGGTCACTGGAAGTTGTAACAACCCTGTAAGAGGCAGTATTCAAAGACACCCTGAAAGGAAATTCCCTGCTGTCTGGTATCCATGCCATCATGTCAAATCCTCCCCTTAAATGTGGGCTGGACCTAGTGACTTTGAACAAACAGATTATGGCCAAAGCAATGGATGTGATGCAGTTACTAAAGGTTGTGTGTTCTGTCCCTCGGCCAGTGCTTCCTTGGCTGGCATATTTTGATGAAGCAAGCTGCCATGCTGGAGAGCCCCATGTGGCAAAGAATAGAGGGCCAATAGCCAGCAAGTAACCAAGGCCCTTAGACCAATGGTCTCTAGAACACAGCCAATCCTCCAAAGACAACTGTGTGAGTGAGCTTGGATCACTCCCCATCAATCCTTCCGCCCCAGCTGGCACCATGAATGCCCATGAGGTTTCTTTTATCCCCACCCCCGCCACCCCACCCCACCCGCGGCTGCACCTCTCAACATGTGGGATTTTAGTTCCCGGATCAGGGATAGAAGGCATGCCCCTGCCATGGAAGCTAGAAGTCTTAACCACTGGATCTCCAGGGAAGCTCCTCCCCGCTCCAGGGAAGCTCCTCCCCCCTCCAGGGAAGCTCCTCCTCCTCCAGGGAAGCTCCTCCCCCCTCCAGGGAAGCTCCTCCCCCCACCCTCATGAGCTTTCTGATTCACAGAAAGTGTATGATAATAAATATTTTAAACCACTTAGTTGGAGGATACTTTGTTCAGCAGCAACGGGTAACTAATTGCAGACCCTAACACCACACGGCAGATGGCACAGTCTGCCATCCCATTTCCCAGGGCCCAGAAAGATACTGTCATGGACATTTACTGAAACTGACGGGTCAGGGTCTGAACCTCTTTCTTGGTACTGGAAAATCCTCGACTGTGGACATCAGTGGTCCCTGTCCCATTAGGGCAGTGTGTTCTAACCCTTCCATGTCATGCCAAGCAAAGAAAATGAATCAGATGTGTCAAGTTCTCTATGAACTCACGTGACTGCTCACTGCCAGAAGGTGCCACAGGCTCTAGCCACTTCAGTCCCACCCTGAGTGGAAGGTCTCAGTAACTTAGCACCCCTATAAGCTGGAAATCTCTACTCATTGGTAGCCCTCGGCAGGAGGTTGCAACTTTGGTTTGGCCAACTTTGAACCTTGAGTGAGTGATGAAAAGATTGGGGGTCAGAAAGGTATCAGAGGTAGCATCCGATTGTAGCTGATGTAACCAGTGGTGAGGCTACTCTATTTATGTTGCCTGGCTCCTTTTGGTCTTGTTTTAGGCCTGGTTCTCTAGCCTTCTGGTTAATCCTGAGACCCACCCAATATGTTTCCAATGAGTTCCTTCCACTTAAGACAGTCAGAATTGGCTCCTAATTGTTTACTACTGAGAACCTCAGCAGATATGTGTGTATCAGTATCATAGCAATATATGGGAAGGACTGAAAATACAGGGGCAAAATGATTGTGGACAGATTCAAGGCTAATAGGTTTTTACCATCTAGGTCTCTAAATGAAAGTCTCATATTTTTGTAATAAAACTTTACTTTTAATTATGGCTTCCCTGATGGTTCAGATGGTAAAGCCTCTGCCAGCAATGCAGGAGACCCAGGTTCGATCCCTGGGTTGGGAAGATCCCCTGGAGAAGGAAAGGGCAACCCACTCCAGTACTCTTGCCTGGAAAATTCCATGGACTGAGGAACCTGGTAGGCTATAGTCCATGGTGTCGCAAAGAGTCGGACACGACTGAGCAACTTCACTTTCACTTTAATTATGTATTATAATTGTGCATGGTAGAAGAATTTTGTGATTTTTTCCCTCCATGTCTTTTTGGTAACAATTTTGGCAAATTATTGTTTAGCCTTTTTCCATTTAGAACATCAGAATCACTTTTCTGTGTCTTCATCTTTAATAATGTATATATCTACTTCAGGCTGTGCTTATGCAAGAGGCCTGGAAGGACTGGGTACCAAACTGTGCCCTGTGTCTACTGACTGATTCAAGAGGAAGGAGTGCCTGTTCTCTAATTAGTTGTCCACCTTCTTTTGGAGATTCCACTGCCCAGGGGGGATGCATTAAAAAAAAGTTTTTGAACAAATTTGGTAAATATGCTTCTGATTCCCTTGAGTGGAATTTCTTCAACTAGTTCCTTCATGTTGGGCATTTAGTTTGCTCCCATGTTTGATCTATCAGTATTTCCTGTTGAACTTTTTCAGGCCTTAATTTTTTCAACACTTCATATTTTGCTACTTGGTTCTAATTTTTTGGTGGGAATGTGTCAAAAGGCATGAACACCTTTATGTCTCTTTATAAGTATGATCATGCTCCCCTGGTGGCTCAGCTGGTAAAGAATCCCCGTGAAATGTGGGAGACCTGGGCTTGATCCCTGGGTTGGGAAGATCCCTTGGAGAAGGAAATGGCTACCCACTCCAATATTCTTGCTTGGAGAATTCTAAGGACAGAGGAGCCTGGTGGGCTGCAGTTCATGGGGTCGCAGAGAGTTGGACACGACTGAAGCAACTAAGGACAGCATGTATACATGATAAATTTGTGGCTTTCTAAAATGATGTTGCTGTTTTCTGAAACTTTCAGTATAAGGAAGGCCTGCTTTACAGAATCCTGAAATTTACACAACTGAAATCATTAATTTCCTCATGCTGCCTGTTTGGTAAGTAGTCACCCCTATAAAAAGCTTCCAACAAAATATCAGCTACTTTTCTTCTCTCAGTTATTCCTAAGCATATGTAAAATTCTAAATGGTTCCTCAGTGTACTGACAGGAGAAAATACACCTTCGTAAATAAAACCTTGGTGACTACTTTTAAAAAGTTGGATGAGACTTGGAGCTCACTTATTCTACCTTGGCTAGCCAACATTTAAATAAAGCTTGGCTTACAATTAACTCCTTACTGTAATATAAGTGACAGTCTTAGAACAATTTAAATACAATAAAATCATGTAATTTACAGTGCAGAGGCTTGAAAAAAGTCATCAAGTGCTAGGTTAGAATTATCGGATATTCTTATTAAAGAACAACAGGGCATCTAGTGGCTGGGTAATTGAGGGAGAAATTAGACTGAATGACTATTAGTTCTGGCCAGTTCTTGAGGGCCTTCAATTAAGTCACCATTTACCTACTCTCTTCAAGACAAATAATTCTCTATTCAGCAAGGAATGTTCTTTGCTTATTTGGACAAACAATTACCATCATAATATTTTTGGAAGCAAACAAAACACTAGAATTTATATCGTCTAGATTATACACCATAAAGTTCGATTTTGCCAGCTAAATAAAGGATAACTTAAGGAGAAGTGGTGAAAACAAAATAGTAACGTTGGGAGGGGTCGGAGAGCAACGCTTGACCAGTTGTGCCAATCAGTCGACCAAGCAAAGCACTGTTGGGAATTGCAAAGTAGGAAGTCCTATTTTTGACTCTGCTGACCTCAGTGAATAGTTCCTTGTTTTAAAAATGGGCATAATTCACTGCTACCTAATAAAGAGGTCTGTTATGAAAATTAACGAGTCTGCAAAGTGTTTGGACGCCTCTAGAAGCCCTTCCTGGAGAAGGAAATGGCAACCCCCTCCAGTATTCTAGCCTGGAGAATCCTGTGGACGGACGAGCCTGGTGGGCTGCAGTCCAGAGTGTGGCACAGAATCGGACACGACCGAAGAGACTTAGCATGCATGCATGCATTGGAGAAGGAAATGGCAACCCCCTCCAGTATTCTAGCCTGGAGAATCCTGTGGACGGACGAGCCTGGTGGGCTGCAGTCCAGAGTGTGGCACAGAATCGGACACGACCGAAGAGACTTAGCATGCATGCATGCATTGGAGAAGGAAATGGCAACCCACTCTAGTATTCTTGCCTGAAGAATCCCAGGGACAGAAGAGCCTGGTGGGCTGCCATCTATGGGGTCGCACAGAGTAGGACACGACTGAAGCGACTTAGCAGCAGTAGCAGCAGAAGCCCTTCCTAAATACAACTTGTAATTTCGCGTTCCTGCTCTCCGATGACATGCCACTCTTCATTAGCACTCCTAATAAATTAGTGACACCTTCTGCCACCCGAGGTTCACTTTTAAGACCTCATAAAATTACTTAATAAGACGCTCCCTGGTTTAAGTGGGAGACTTTCCCTTTAGAAATGGTTATGTTAAAGTATTAACATAACTATGAAGGATGCGGAACATCATCAGGAGGCAGGCGACAAATAGGGCCCTGTCCCGGGGCACGAGCTCGAGCAGAACCCGGGCAAGCCCCGGACGGCTCACTCACAGACCCGATTTGGGCTCCGGGAGCCGGGGCGGTCCCGCTGGTCTCGGGGGTCCGCCGACCCGGCTCGCGGCTGCCCCAGCGGGGCTCGATTGCTTTCGCCTGGATGGGAAGCGGCCCGGCCGCGCTAGAGGCGACCCTACGGTGGCGGGGGCGGGGCGACGGCAACAAAAAGAAGTCAGGTAGGAGGAGAGTCTGCCGGCCAGGCGGGCGGGGCTACACAGCGGGCTCCCGGCAGAGGCGGGGACGCCAGCCACCGGCCCGCCAGCAGCCGGCGATCTTCCTCCGACCGCGCGCGTCCCACTGGCAGCCTGGACCAGGCGCCTGGACCCGAGCGGGCCCGCCCTCCGCCGCCTGCGCGGCTCCGCCCCCTTGTCAGGCCCCGCCCTCTCGGGCTCCGGCCCCGCCCCCTCGCTGCACAGCCCGCGTGCTTGGTCTCCCTCTCCGGCCCTGCCCCCTCGTCCGGCCCCGCCCCCTCGCCCGGCCCCGCCCTCCGCGCCGCGCTCGCGCTCCGGCCCCGCCCCCTCGCAGCACC